TTTTTTCAAATCCAAATTCATAATCATGAATAATCTATTAGAAAACAACTAAATTTTTGCCTGAATGAAAATGTAGCTGTCAAATTAGCAAACTGGCAATTAATAGCATGCAATATTTCTTCAAGTGCAAAAGTCAGCAATGAATTTTTATTGAATAACACGGAACAACTGAAAATTGACTAGTAGAAATTTATTAGGGCAACGTGTGTTTGGGGTGCTTGAACCCGCATTTTCTCAAAAATCTGACGTGGGGGAAAATTTGTATTACCAGATTCTTTTCTTCTAAACGGCTCTACGGATTTAGCCAAAAATATTTTACGCACAACCTTTGTAGCCCCAAGTCGAATCCTAAAATAAAAATTTAATAGATCAGGCCATTTAAAGTTAGTTCAGGTACCGCGTGCGGATACAATAGTAGGAAATCGGTTATTTATGTTTTGAATACGTTTTCTATAAACCTTTGTAATTATGATTTAATTTTTCAATATCTTCTTTTACTATATTGATAAAAAACATTCCAGAAATTATGGTTTTTGGTAGAAGATCTTTATCATAGAAGACTTTTCTGTATATAAATACATATGTCCCCAATCATGTGGGGGTAAACTGTCAATTGCACGACAGATACCAAACTGCAACGTTGTTGCCGTAGAGTTGGCGTTAAAGTATTAACCGAATCCCTGTGGCTGTGGCGGTAGCACCCGTACTCCGTTTACTTGCCCCCGATTCGGCGAAATGAAACAACGAATTTTTCTTTACTTATTTGACTAAATCTGCTACTTAGTACTGCAAATATGATGCATTAAAATGCGTATAATCTTCGATTAGGATAAAAATGAACTAAGAATTGTAAATATATATATTCTATTTTTTACTTTTTTTTATTTTTTATATATTTTAATGTTGCGCGGGCCTCTAGGCTGGCGCCTATGTAGGTTATGCTTAAACGCGGCCCACCATGTTGTATGTATAATCATTTTCGCCTGTCGAGAAATAACTGAAATGAAAGCTGTAGCAGCGAAAGTATTTTTTTTTATTTCCCGCAAGTTAACATAAATATGTAAGTAAATAGTCATGTTACCGTCGGTAATACTTATCAACCCATTGCTGAAGTGAATGTGCAACACGCCCCGGAAGCGGTAAGAAACTATTTCTTAAACTACGATTCCCCGTTTCCCCTTATTCCTTGCCAATTTGCAGCTTATTTGCAGTTATTAATTTTAAATGGCTACTGTATAGCACTACAGTGCCGTCAATCTGCATTACCACAATTCAAGTTACTCTATTATTCTATCATTGCCACAAGCACAGTTGCAGTAACCACTGCGACTAATCAAAAAAGAGCTAAAGAGAAAAAATATCACATAAAATACAGTTCATAGACAAGAATCTGAAGGACATTTGCAGTTAGCTGAAATGGTTGGCGCTGATTACTGTCAATATTTGTTTCAGCTGGTGCTGCTACCACGGTACACACGGCCGCTTGCGGTCAACAGTCATTGCATAAGCTAAAAGCCTCCGCATCAATGCCAACAAAACAGCAACACTAAATGTTTCCCACTGAACATTTTTAAATAAATGCAGTTGATCCGCAACTACCGAATGCGGTGGTAAAGAGTAACCAGCGGTCGTGAATTCGTGCAACGACTACGATTATAACCGCCACAGCAACAAAACTAAACAATAAGCGGAAACCATGTTTAACTTTCTCCAGCCAAAGCTGGCTGGCGGCAAGGAGCCCTCCACTTGCCCGCCAACAACTAACCAGTTTTGGTGGCGGGGTTGCGTTGATATTCAATGCTTTATCCACATTCTGGTGTGCCGACATTGGCAATTAGGGAATTGTTTGGATTTTTATTATGCAGCTGACGTGTCTTACCGGTATATCCGTGAAGCTGTCCCTCACCATCGTTGCGCGTGTGCGCTGAAGCATGCCTACCCTCAGCAGCTTTTTCTAATTCAGCGGCGGGGCAATCCGCCACCTTCTGCAGTCATTGGTGGTCATCAGCGCTGCGATTATTTTTAAATTCTCAGTTCTTGCACCGCAGCGGAAACGGAAATTGGATTTGTTACTATACTCTCACGCTCACTCTTTGCCTATTGCGCTTCTGACCTGCTGCTGCCTTTTACAGCTTTTCAACATTTCAGCATCGCCTTTTACCATGGAGAATCAATTTCTTAGCAGAGTATTTTTTAAGCCGCTTATGTTGCAATGTTTTTACCGGATTTCTGTTTCACACCAATCCATTGGGAAGTTAAAGAATGAAATGACTGCAGAGAATCCTGAAACTACAATTGCGGCTGCAGCAACTGTGAATTGTGTAGTAGATTTTCTTTTGTGTTCTTTTTGGTTTGAAAATTAGGATGGTAGCTTTTTGCGAATTAAGAAGATTTTGACTTGAATTTAAAAAAATTTGTTGAGTCTAATCTTTAGTAATATCTTCTTATTCGCCATTATTTATTTGCATTTTACTTACTTAAGTTTTGGAATTGACGTAATACTTTATTTATTATTTATTATTTGCTCTCTTTGTAACAGCGGCTTCGGCATTTTACGTCTGGTGGCGAGGTAACAGTCACGTAACATTAAACTGTTTATGATATCAA